AAAATAGGTAAAATCTTGTACTTAATATGTATAATCTAAGAATACATAAATTATCATATATTACATCCAGACTTTTCTTTGATAATCGTCGGAAATGCAAATAAAATTATACTAAATTTTAGCCTCCAGAAAAATATCTCTTGATGACGCGCCTATAAGTCGGACATAGAGTTTTAGACCAATATTTAACTCCCAAAATACCGACTTATAGGAGAGTATATACGGTATATTGTAAACTTATGTAAGACTGATATTTATTCCATCCCCCTTCCACGTGTTATTGTAGGTGTGAGTCTGTATGTAAGTGTCTGTATGTGAGTGTGTTGTTAAATATATTTAAATGTTTGCTTCTGAACAATTTTTAATGTATGTAATTTGTTGCTTCTGTACATGAAAAAAAAGAAAATAAATTAAAAACTAATCAGTTAGAAGAACAAAAATTGCCTTTCTTTTGCCAATGCCACAAGACTTAAAGAACGAATTCGGGTACTGACACCTTAAACTACACTGGCAGACAATAGCATATTTTGTTTACTTTTCGTGTAATTTTCTTTTATAAATGATATTTTTCACTTTTACATGATGTTGTTTGTTTTTGTGTGCTTTAACAAAAAAAGCTCAGTCATTTGGCAGGAGTAATAAGGACTAACATAATAATTATTCAAAAATTGAGATAAGGAGAGTATGTTCTTGAAAGAAGTTTGATGTCAAAGAAATCTGAATTATAGTACACACGAAAGTCAGCTATTTAAATCTATAATTGTCCAATTATTTCAAGCATACTGACAATTAAATATATAACAATGGTTATTTCCATTCCTATGTCGATATGATATATCCTGGTGAGCTTGAGATAAAATATTGCACAGAATCTGACACATCTGTTTCAAACTTGGATATTTTACTTAAAAAGACGTTAATGGTAATCTAACAACGAATCTCTATGATAAACGTGATGATATAACTTTTCTAACGTCAACTTCCCTTACTTATGCAACAATATACCTTCATCACCTGCATACTGCGTTTATATATCTCAGTTGATTCTGATACGCAAGATCGAGCATACTCTACTCATAAACAATTTCTAAAACGAGGTAAATTATTGACAAACAAATTGATGGAACAAGATAATCAGCAGTCTCGTTTAAAGTCATCATTTCGTAAGTTTTTTGATCTATACAATGACCTTATCAGCAAATACAATTCATCATTGAGTCAAATGCTGACTGACGTTTTTCATACTAATTGATAGTCCATTATTTATACACTGAATTGACGACGGATTTTCCCGTTATTTCTCGATCATGACAAGGAGCCCACGGCGGGTGTGACCGGTCGGCAGGGGATGCTCTATCCTCCATGGCACCTGATCCCACCTCTGATGTTTAGAGGTCCGTGTTTGCTCTGCTCCTTTTTTGTATTGTTTTATGGACTTTGATACTGAATACTGTTCGTTATCTCCATATTGTTCATTCAGGTATGATTTCATGTAGAAGCTTTGAGGGCTGTGCATATATATCGTCTTAAGAAAAAAAATCTTGCTCATATTTAACAGTAACGCTGTTCCTTCAATTCAGTGTTAATCTAAAAATAAAGTTTATTGATTAACGTAATATTTCAACTTTTCAATCGCCAACTTTCCATACTCATGTAAAATCCAAAATGTGTAGCAAAATCATCTGCATATGCAGTATCGATATGCAAGAGCAGTCAATTTTAAAACAAGATAGGTTACCAATACACAGGTAATTGGAACAGGAATATCAACAGCTTCGCAAGTTCTATGGTCGATACAATCACCTTGTCAGCGAATGCAATGTATCATAAAGTCAAAATATTGACGATTATCCTGTTATCACAAGGAGCATATGGCGGATGTGACCTGTCGCAAAGGGATGCACCTCATCCTACCTCTGATATTCTAGAGGACTGTGTTCAAGTTGCTCCTGATTTGTTTTGTTGAATGGACTTTTGAGCTTAAGTACTGTTTCATTATCACCAAATATTTCGTTTAGCAGTTCAAGTGCTGTGTATATATTTTATTTAAACAGTTTTGATATACACCACTTAAAAGAAATAGTATTTTATCAATTTAAAATGAAACTAAAAGATGTGAATTTTACATCGACTGAAACTTTAAACGTTCAAAGTGCCATAACTCGAACAACAACGCTTACAATTAACTAATGCGCTTTTTTTTTTCTTGCGGCACAGCCATATATGTTATGACACGCTGAACGTCAATAAAAAAATAGATGCGCATTATTAAATGCTCCATTTTAAGAATAAAAGAAGATAATAATCCCATCCAGCAAATGTCAGTCATTTTCTAACTTAGTGATAGATTGTATTTGCCGACAAGGTCATTGCATCGATCATAGAACTCAAAATATGATGACTTGAAACGAGACTATTGATATTCTTATTTCATCAACTTGTTTGTCAATAATTTATCTCGTTTTAGAAATTATACATAGGTAGAGTATGTTCTCGAGTATCGAATCAACTGAGAAATATAAGGCAGATGCTAAGTGTACGTACATGTTTTCGGAAGTAAGGGAAGTTAATGATTAAAATGTTAAAAGTCATCACGTTTAGCATAAAGCTTAGTTATTATTTTACAATCAACGGCTTTGTTTTTCAAATAAAATATCCAAAATCTGAAAGAGATTAATCAGACTCGGTGGTCTCTATTAATTCAAGCTCACCTGGATATATCGTGTCGACATATGAATGGAAATAACCTTTAAATGACAATAAAGAGAAATATGTGGAGATAATGAACCGTATTTGAGCTCAAAAGTCCATTAAATATTACAAATTAGGATAGGTGCAAACACGGAACTCCACAACATCAGAGGTTAGATCAGGTGCCAGGGATGAATGAGCATCTTCTGTCGACCGGTCACATCCGCTGTGTGCTCCTTATCATGAAAAAAGGAAAAGTCCGTGGACAACTCCATGTGTAACTAATGCCCTAACAATCAGAATGAAAAAGTCAATCAGCATTTAGACATTACGTCGTTTAATGCCGAGTTGAAAGCCACAAGTGTTTTCTTCTTTAACGATTTACACGATTTTCAACAAATTCTGCTTCATGTTAAATATAGAAATGGGTCTGTTGATAACATGGCACAATGGTGACCCATAGGAATTACAATATTTTGTTGAAAGACCTTGTCTCCAAAAACCACATACATGTAGATAATTTTTTTTATCTGATCAATGACAAGATACGTAAATTAATGAGTTCCAGATTTATTGAAAGATCAGCTATCAATGCATGATGTCAAAAAGCCCAGATTTTAATTTATCATTAGGAATGATTGATTGATTGTATATTGTTTAACGTCCCTCTCGAGAATTTTTCATTCATACATGTATGAAGGCGCCACCACTTGCCGCTGGAGAGCTGCACATTTTGTCCTATACTCGGCACTCAGGGCCATTGAACAGGGAGGGATCTCTTTTCTGCCAGCACCTACTGCTACACTGCACCTCGGTTCATACGGCCTTATCCGAAGGACCAGTCTCCACGTCCCATAATGGGATTCGAACCCGCGATGTAAGGATGAACTCCTTACTTTACGACTCTAGAGCAGACGCTCTAATCACTGCGTCATGCAGGGGTGGTTGTATATATATGGTTGGAAAGTCTTGACTTTTGACGATGTTGGTTTTGGTAACATTTTATAAAGAAAAAAAAAACATGGACCCCTCGAGATTCAAGAGGAGGGAACAGGTGCTTTGGAGGAGTAAACATCCCAGTTGACTGGTCACACCCTGTGGACGGAACTTTCCTTAGTCAAATTCAATATAAAAAAGGACTTACAATTTGTATGAATCAAGTCAGCCAAAATACGACCCAATGACAATTATATTTACCAAAAAGTTGAATATTGCGACCATGAAATTCCGACTTTGAACGAAGTTGTTGAAATCTCTGTAACCTCAACTTATCAGTTAGAGGTGGTTAATTTGGAAAGTAAAGATTTAACACAGGAGTTTTATACTACCAATGTTATACAACTGTATTGTAAACTTATGTAAAACTGATATTTATTTCATCCCCCTTCCACGTGTTACTGTAGGTGTGAGTCTGTATATGTATGTGTATGTGTGTCTGTATGTGAATGTGTTGTTAAATATATTTAAATGATTGCTTCTGAACAATTTGTAATGTATGTAATTTGTTGCTTCTGTTAATAAAAAATAATAATATTAATAAAAAAATTAAAAAAAAAATTAAAAATTTTAGCCTCCAGAAAAATATCATCAGTTAGAAGTACAAAAATTGTCTTTCATTTGCCAATGCCACAAGACTTAAAGAACGAATTCGAAAACCTTCAGCTATTAAAAATAACGGAAAAATATAATATCATTAAAACAAGTACAACTGTATAATGCATGTTGACAGTGATTTTCAAAGGTACTGACACCTCAAACTACACTGTAGACAATAAGATATTTTTGTGTACTTTTTGTGTAATTTTCTTTTATAAATATTATTTTTCACTTCTGCATGATGTTGTTGGATTTTGTGTGCTTTAACAAAAACAGCTCAGTCATTTGGCAGGAGTAATAAGAACTAACTATTAAACATTAATTAAGAAATAATTATTTAATAATTGAGATAGGGAGAGTATGTTCTTGAAAGAAGTTTGATGTCAAAGAAATCTGAATTAAAGTACACACGAAAGTCAGCCATTTAAATCTATAATTGTCCAATTATTTCAAGCATACTGACAATTAAATATATAACCATAAATAATCGCCGAACATACTTTATTACATGTTCGTATAATCATCCTAAATCTTTTAAAACAACAACGGGAGGTACTCGATGAACCAAACCACGCACAATGATAATTATCGGCGATTTTGTTTTCATTGTTCACACTTGTCACTCTCTCATAATAAAAAAAAAAGATCACCCTGTGTTAAATGTTCAATTTACGGATCAATTCAAACGTCTGTAAAATTACCCCCCGAAATATTCTATTCCCTAACGGAAAAGGGGGTACTCTTCTAGTGGACTACAGGCGTTAGAGACATAACTCATTTTCGAGAAAATGATGGTTCTGGATCATATTATGTTTCTTTGTGTTGCTGCTTTAGTTGTGCTAAATGGTAGAGTTTAATTCAATTTATTGATACAATTTTTTTTCTTCAATTTTCTGATTCTACTCTTTAAATTGTGATACTATACCGATTTTTTATGTTTAAATTAAAATGCACTAAAATTGTCAAAAACGTTAAATAATTTTGTATTTTCTTAAAGAAATAAATCCGACAGAGGCGTCTGGACATGATGGATGTGACAGCAGCAATAAATTGTCAGGTGAGGATTAATTAAAAAACTTCGAAATCGTTCTATTATTGCTGTTAAGCTTCACAAGTTATGTTTCAAAAGTTCGTGGATTAGGAGGAAGTCTCAGCTATTTTTTTTTTGGACAAAAATTGCTAAATCAAACTTATGGTAATTTTAATCTACAGGAAACTGGATGCTTCTGACCATTCTATTGATTCTTGTTGCGGCTTTAATTAAACGGTAGACACGTCGATATTAGAAGTAGTTCAGTGATTCAATGCAACGTAGACATTCAGAGTGCAGCCGTGTTGAACTTTAAATTCTGAAACTTTCATCAATTTTTTCTTTTTATCTATTTTTATTTCATAGATATTTTAATGTCAGTTTTCCACTTCTTTTGGGTTAATTTTGTACATCATATGAAATAAACAAAACCTATAAAAACTAGTCTTTTATTTTGTTCATTTCAAAATTGTTTCCATTAAAAAAATTATTCATAATGAAAATTGAAGTGTTAAATAAAATAAATATCAGTAACTTTGCTCTCTTAAAGCCTTAAAAAAATTAATCAAAATGTCACTCTATCATAATATTTCTAGGAGTTATCACCCCTTCTTTCCGCGAGAGATCACTTCTTTCCTTCCGGCCACCCGATTGGAACAATTTAGGTGGAACTGTGAGAGATAACAGTGCAATTTTAAGTACTGAGTTGGTCTCATCAACAAGTTATTACTTATTGACGTTACAGTTTCATAAAGATAGAAAATTGATATTTAAAATCATAAAATTTTTTCAATTGATTATCTTTCTTTTATCAAAATGTATCCATGACATTATTTTATCAAAATGTTTCCATAACATTATATTAAAAGCCGTTAATAAAGTTAATAATAAGTGCAAATAAACAAAGGCTTTCATACATGCATTTGATTTGAGTACCAAAAGTGATCAATATTTTAAGCAGTATTAATGTATAACAAACCAGTGTAGCACAAAAGTTTAGTCCTTGAGTGACTGAAATGGTGCATGTCTATAAACATCTTTAGGTAATATAAAAAGAGGAAAAGTTCTATTTGGATTCAAAGCTTGCTTGGGTGTTGTTAGCTGTAATTGTTATTCCAGAACTTAAACAAATCTGTCAAACAAAAATGTACAAATGAAATTATTAAAATAAAAAAAAACTTCTTTGCTTAATTGTGCACTTATTTCAAATGGAAATTGTAAATATATCACAGTGCAATTTTAAATAGATTTTGTCACATCTACGTGAGAGTTAATGAGAGTAAAAAGTAAATCAATTTACCTTCGTCAGACGATGAGTTGTTTAAATCTGTTAACGAAACGTGCTTACTTGTTTTGCGAACTGGAACTTCATTTGTTTTAGAAACTAAAAAATGATTACAAAAGATTATTATTGAAACAATTAATATACAAATAATTCCTTACAAATAATCACATTGACTAATTTCTACTTATCAAATTTTATAACCATTTACTATCATGAATGTCTCATTCCAATGATACTGTCCTTTTAAGTTTAGTTTCAAAATTCAACCCTTGTTATATGCAACTGGACTCTTTATACCTTTATTTCATACTTTAAATATTTATTTTAATATAAAAAGTATCTAAAGGCCACTTCTGAATAATATGAAAGGTAGGTTTAGAATAAACTAAGTTTTTAATGTATTGTAAAGTGCTAGTGGTTCTTACTTTTTCTTGGATTGTAAACTTCATGCTGCATTGACTCCCGATAGGTAGGAATAACAGGCAGAGCTTCAGGCGGTATGTCCTAAAACGATTCCAATTCATTCCATCATGGCAACCTTCTAGTTTAACTTTTAAATAAGCAGAGAGAGAGAGAGAGAGAGAGATTTTACATTATCTGTGAGAGAAACCTTCCCACAGAAAGTATTTTATTTTTGTCCTCTGTCCTTGAACTTTAAGTATGGCCTATTTTTCAACTATTTTATTTAAAATATTTACATGGTGATTTGACTGAGAGAGAAAATAGCTTTAAATTACCTTCTCCCTTTAAGTACTTCTATTTTTGTTTTAGATATTTGTCATACCTTTTTAATGAGAGAATAATTAATAGGCTTCATATATTATATGTACATTATCTGTTTACCTAATGCTTTAGGAAAATATTATTTTGAATACTGAACCTTGACCTAGATTTTGACCTTGTTTAAAATTTAGAATTCTATCATTGAGGCTTTGATTATCTTATCTCGTTTCTTACACATTCAATAGTTATATAGATATTCAGATATATCAAGTGAATCTACAGATTACTCTAAAATATTAACTTACATTAATAATAAAAGCTTCTTGGTCTGGGTGTCTCTTTTCCGGCAATACTCTCGCTCTTCCTAATAATAATTAAAGGTAACATTTTAAAAGGAAAAAAGAAAGGATTTGCGTAATCATTACACCATACTATAATTTAAAACGACAACTGCCTAGGTATATATCAGATCTGCATATTCAACCTATGTTTTTTTTAATATTACTGTGTTATCATTTTCATCATCAAAATTAAATATCTTATTTTATGTCTGTACCTTTAATTAAAATGATTGCTGCAAGAGGATTAAAATGGTTTTATACAAACAATAAAAAAAATTCCATGAAATATAAAACAAGAGGCCGATGAGCACTTATGCTAGGAAAAAGCAGAAATCAGTTAAATATAAAAGTGGTTCCGAGTGATGATATGAATTAACGTGGGGATGGTTACGAATGAAAATGACTAATAATGACGTCGTTGTTCTTAAGAGGATTTTTCATTTAAAATATCTTTTATTTTATTTGGTGAAACTTTGGAGAAACTCCTGTAGCCCTTCTATAGTCTTGAGTCCTGTCTTGAACAAAAAATGAACCTATACTACCTAAGGCTGGTTCGAAGTAAGGATTTGCTGTTCTTTATAATAAGATTTTAAAATATTTTCCCTGTGTTTAACTTGTATCGACAACTGGGTCCCATTCTATACTCGGGGAAAAGTTTATGACGACGACAACGACAACAAATTTTTCATCAGAAAAACTCACATGAGCCCTCAGCCCAGGTAAGCCTACAAGAAAGGAGACGTATTTTTTCATTGAACATGAACCATTTCATATGATGAACCAATTATGTTTTTCTGACCTTTTCTATTTTTCTCATCTTCAGCTTCAAGCCTTAAAAATTAAATAAAAAATAAATAACAGTTTGTATGATTTAAACAAATGTTCTCAATATCAATATTTCGATGCACAGGGAAACCAACGAACCTTTTTTTTTCAAAAGATAATATGTGGACAAGAGAAGATCATAAAATATTGGCCTTATCTCAGTCGCTTACTTGTATTTACGATTTCTAGAACAGACACAGAAGAGAACTGTAAACAACACCGCTAGAAAAAGTGTAACCCCTATTGTCGTCAAAACAGCAATCCCTTCAGTTGTCTCCGCCCATGACTGTGTGTCAGAGATCACAGCTTCTAAAGAGGGATTTACTGACGTCACAGGAAACGTTGCAAAAGTGGGTGTGGTCAAAACAGAAGCGGGCGTGCCATCAGATGATTGACGTAGAACATTTAAGATGTTATCCTGCGACATAAATGGTTTATTTCCCTCTATTCCAGATTGGGTGTCAGCTGATAAACTGTTCACAACATAAATGCTGGACTGCGAACTAAATATGAAAGGAATTTCAATCACATTTCATTTCGCTTTTTATTGATAGGTACATACAGGTACATTGTACAATGAATTATCTGCAGTTTTAAACTATGTGTTTTTCTTTTTGGAAAATTTAAATGAACGTAAACTAAAAACATATAAGTGTTGACTCCGGATTTTTTTTAATCCGGAAGCTCTGATCAAATATCTTCAGAACTACCTTCTCAAGAACATAAATTATTATTAATAAATTAACAGAACAATTTATTCAATATACGAGGGGTGATCAAAAAGTTCGCGAACAAATTAAATAACTTCACTAAAACAAATATAATTAGGTGTCAGTGTTCATTATTTTTTAAAGTGGCCCTCTCTGATTTTAATGCATATTTGCAACCGCTCTGCCCATGCGCGAATCACGTGATCCGGGCGGTCACGTGACATGCTCTTTAGCATTCTGTTCATAGACGCTAAAATATTTTCCCGTGTCTTATACTTCTTACCATGTAAGTTGATTTTTAAAACAAAAACAGTCCATTTGTCAGAAATGACCATATCTCGGAAATAAAATGGTTGGATAAAAAATATCCTTTCCCAGAAAGAACATAGTGACCATCACAAGCCGAGTCCTCTGTCTTCGGGACGTCGTTTAACCAATATGGATATTATTGTAGCGGCCTTCTTTTTATCGTATTTAATATGTTAAAAGTCTTAATTAAACAATATTTTAGGGATTTGATATAATATTATTGTAAATATATTCCATCATTTTTCTAGCTGTAACTTTGCAATCTTTCATAACAAATTGCTTAACAAAGGACACATCGCTTCCCCGGTTTGCTTTTGCTGGGCTACAAAACAAACGTCATTTTTAACCATCTCCCTCCCTACTCTAAAACAACCAATTCAATTTATGACTTAAGGTCTGGAAAGTATAGAATACGTCATAATGATGGAGAAAATAATTATTTTTATATGCTATTTATAGAACATGTGCATGACTATAGGTGTGTCAAATTTCATTCTGATCTGAATCGTGGTCTTGTAAATATTGAAATAGTTCGCGAACTTTTTGATCACCCCTCTTAAAAGGATAAGTGATAATTTTCAAATCAACATCAAAGTAAATGTAAGACTTAATTTTTGATCATAGTTTTTGATTATATTTACGTTTCCGCTAATAGTCGACGTCTAGCTGTTGTCGTCGTTCCGATTATTCTCCATATACCGACCCTTGTATTGGCGGGAAACAAATTTTGAAGAGCAGCAAGAAGTAAGTGCCTGTTGCAGGAAATAATCTGGAGAAATTACTTTGTATATTTTCATAAATTATGTAAAATGTAATTCTCTTTGTATAATCAAGAGAAATATTACTTATATTTCATTAAAAGTGATGTGAGATATGTAATTTTTGTAAAACATCACTTCATAGCTTTATAGCATAACTACTTATAGGTTTTTCTTTTCACTTACTTTTGCGATTCAACTGTTGTTTTAGAAATGCTATGTGTTAGAATGACCATATGTGATCTAGGGGTCATTGTATCTATCCTGAACAAGGCAGAAGTGGCCGTCACATTGTTATTAGAAGTCTGGATTCGTACAGCCATCGAAAAGAAATACCGTGTTTCTGCGAACAATTTAGTGCGATCCTTGACATATAAATTTCCGTTTGTGGCCCCCACATCGAACACGGTGCCTCCACCAATCAAGTTAAATCTAATACTGTCAGTTGGACCAACTGTGTATCCAAAATCTGTTGCTTTTATGTTTACTATGACGTCACCATTTAGTGCGGTGACAGGACATTCTAGTGAATAAAATGGCGAGTCACTATTGGCTGACGCAGAGCGTGGATTATCGTAAACATCTATTAAGTCTATCACGACGTTAACTGTTCCAGTCAGAGGGAGTGTACCATGGTCTTTCGCATAAACTATGAACGCTATTCTGGGAGAAGATTCGTAATCTGGAGAGATTGAAAGCGTCAGATGTCCAGTGGATGTTATGCTCAATGCCGTTAGGGCAGTTTTGTCAGATGGATCTATCATGTAGGTTAGCTGACCATTGAGTCCGCTGTCCGCATCCGTTGCAGGAATCTGTCCGATGGTCAATCCAACTGGGGAATTCTCAACAACATTAGTGAATGTAATTGTTGTTGATTGAAAAAGTGGAGTGTTGTCATTAAGATCATTTACTTTCACGTAAACATTTTTGTTGTACACGAGTGCAGAGTTAACGGAATCTTGAATTTTTATTGTGAGATAGTAATTGCTTCGCTCCTCGTGATCCAATGCACGTGCTACTTTAATGACCCCATCATTCAGCCCTATTTTAATGTTATTATTATAGTTGCCGGATACAATTGTAAAAATGATCGTTGTTCCGGGGTTATGTATCGGATCTGGAAGTACTGTTCCTAAAGATGTATCCAAAGGAACGTTTTCGTCGACTGAAAAGGAAAAATCACTGACAGTTGGCGAGTTAGGCGGATCAATTCGTACTGCTAGAGAAGTAGTGGATGTTCTTTTTGGAACTCCTTTGTCAATAGCATGGATTACCAGTGAGTATATATCAGGAGATGAAACAAGTGACGTTAGTGTAGTAACACGCCCGGTGTCTTTGTTCAAATAAAACGTGTCAGATACATCCCCACTGACAATGAAATATTCAATCACAGCATTGTCCGCTAAGTCGGTGTCATTACCGTTTATTGAAATCAGGTATGTTCCCACTGAATCAGCTCGTCCAAGCGTTACAGAATATGGTTCTCCAATGAAATAGGGCGAATTGTCGTTAGCATCAACAACTTCGATGCTTAATGTTAAGCTTCCTGTTTTAGCTGGGCTGCCAGCATCAACTGCTATAATGACAAGACTATACAGACTTACCGTTTCTCGATCAAGAAGATTCCGTAGAAGAACCTTTCCATTGTTTGGATCAACAGAGAAGCGGAGATCATTATTCCCAGAGAGAATGGAGTACGTAAGTCGAGCATTTGCCCCAGCGTCAGCGTCTGTCGCATACACAGAATAAACAGCGCTACTGATGTTAAGAATTTCATTAATTTTGATGCTTACCACATCTGGACTAAAAATAGGTGAATTGTCATTAATGTCTGTCACAATTATGTCAACTTCTGCTTTGCTTGTCAAAGATGGAGTGCCACCATCAGCAGCCTGGACGATAAGTGCGTAGGAACTTCTGAGTGGCGCATTTAACACTGCATTAACCTTAAGCTGTCCAGTAGATGTGTCAATCGCAAAATCAGCACTGTTTTCGCCAGAAATAATTGAGAAACTTAGTACAGAATTAACTCCGATGTCTTTATCAGAAGCCGTTAGGTCTCCCACAATAGTGTTGATGGAACTTGACTCCATTATTGTAAAAGAGTACTTGGGAACAGAAAATATTGGTTGATTATCATTGATATCACTAAGCGTCACTGTGACAGTGATCAAATCTCGCAGTGTTGTCTGTTGGATATTGACAGCGCTAATTGTTACGTCATAGCTAGCAGTGGTATCCCGATCCAGTATCCCGATCACACTCAATTCCCCGGTATTTTCATTTACTGCAAATTTTCCCTCTACATTTCCTGCAGTAATGGCGTAAGCCAGATCTTTGAGCTCTAATGCACCGCCAACTGTTGCATCTGAATCGAACACAATTGTTCCAACTACTGTATTTTCTGGAATGGTAATTGTCTGAACATTAGAAGCAAATCTTGGTTGTGGATAGACTGGTGTGATTTCTATGTCGACCGTGGCAGTGGAGGATCGACTAGGAATACCTTTATCTTTGCCTTCAATAAGCAAAACATATTTATTAACAGTTTCGTAGTCTAAAGCTGAATTTACTTCAATAACGTCTCCGGTTACCCTGAAGGCGTTCACGGTGTTTCCCGCCACTATCGATAACGTCACATCACTGTTGACGCTACTGTCTGCGTCTGTACAGGTGACCTTTAACACTGAACCACCAACCGGGTAGTTCTCAATTACCTGTGTCACGTACACATTTTGTGAGAAAGTTGGATCATTATCATTAACATCTGTAACAGTCAAAGAGAGTACGGCATTTTTCACCTCTCCCTTCCCATTGTTGGCGGATATTGTTAATGAATATGTTGGAGTTGTTTCTCTGTCAAGTAACTTGGTCAGAAAAATATTTCCAGACTGAGGGTCTATCGTGAAAGAGTTATCATTTCCCAATGTGATAGCGTACGTAATTTGTGTTCCCACGTCCAGATCTTGGGCAGTCACAGAAAATACAAGCGTGCCAAGAGGAGTATTCTCAGAAAGGGAATGAGAATAAGCTCCTCCTGTTGTCAAAAATTCTGTTGGAAACTCGTCAAAGTTTGTCACTTGTAACAGTACTATTGTTGTTCCTGTCTGTTGTGGCGTACCGTTATCTGTCGCTGTCAACGTTAACATGTAAACTGCCGTCGTCTCGGCATTCAAAGTTGCTTTCAGCTTCAGTTTACCACTGGTATCTATTTCAAACTTATTTTCAAGGTTTCCACTGACAAAACCGTATGTCACAGCACTGTTCGGACCAGCTTCATCGTTGTCTATTGCTACCAAGTCCTGAATTAGGGTTCCAACTCCGATATTTTCTACTACTGATGTTTCATAAAATGAAGAGCCAAATTTTGGGGCATTATCATTATTGTCCAGTACTGTTATTGTAAGGGTGCTATCGGCGGTTTTGGATAAATTAATGTCAGTGATTCTGATGTTAAGAGTATACATAGCAGTCGCCTCCCTGTCTAAAGCAGAATATATAAACACATTTCCTGTGAAAGAATTAATTCTAAACTTATTGTCCACATTGCCACTTATTATTGAAAATGACTTAAATCCGGAGGCAGAGCTCCCCAAAACATCAAATACAGAAGCGCCCAGCGGAGAAGATTCATCAATGGATACAGTACTGGGCATGTTTATAAAAAGGGGATCCGACTGTAAGGTTATGTGGAGAAAGACTGAGGTCGTAAGGGGAGTCACCGCAGAATCGGACGCTACAATTGTCAGTTGATAATTTACATCACTGGGCAATTTGTTATAGACCACACGACCGTCCGTTTCCACACGAAAATCTGTGTTCGTATTCCCTGCAGTTATGGAATAAACGATAGCACCATTAGGTCCTGGTGAATCATGGTCTGAACATACCATTGTGTATACATTCGACCCGATTGTGAATGGTGGGCTTGCGGTTACCTCAGCACTTATTGCACAGTCTGGAGGGTATTCATTTACGTCCGAAACAAATACAGTCATTGTAGTTGTACCCGTTTTCCTATTTACCTTTGCTTGATCAACAGCCACAAGCACGAGCTCATACGTAGAAAGAGTCTCTCGGTCAAGAGGTCGAATCGGAACAATTTCTTTGGTCGTGCTTTTGATGGCAAAAGCATCAGTGTAGGTCGTCAGTGTGTAATCAATTAATCCATCAAAACCAGCGTCGCCATCTGTAGCAGCAGGGAAAGTCATGGCTACACCTTGAAAAAGATAAAGTTAAACTCAGTAAAACTCATTTAATATCCCCTTCGTTTAACGTGAAGCATTGCCCGCAATTTTTCATAGCTCATTTTCTTCTGCAATTTCTTTAAATATTAATTTTCCTGGTTATATTTTTCTCCCAAAGAAGCAAGAAAGGAAATAGTATCGCGAGTGTTTTGGTGATTGAGAACATGCGAAGAGGAAGTTACTCAAATATACATGTAATTTATATGTATAGGCCCCTAACGATTTTTTATGCTTTTTTTTGCGAGGGGATGCCCCGCTTTGCGTTCTCTTGTTAAAACATAAATTATCCAAATTCACCAACATACCTGATACTGAATTTTCTTGCACTGTGCCTGTAATAGGTCCAGTAAATGTTGGAGTGAACTCATTAATACTAGAGATTGTGACGTAAACATTCACAGTGGAAGACAGTGAAGTAGGCGTGCCACCATCTGTTGCTTTCACAACGAGGCTACAAACAACAGCAGTCTCGTAGTCTAAATTAGAGGTTGCAGTTATCACACCGGATGTGGCGCCAATAGTCAAGGGACATCCAGCCCCCGCGTTTCCACCTGTTGGTATTAATCAGTAAGTGTAAACCTATTACCTACCAACATTTATATTTTGTCCATGATTTATTGAATTCCAGTACGTTATCAATAGACATGGTATATGTACACAAAATTATATGCATGTGGCATTTTACATAAAAGAAAGGACCGGTTTGGCAGAATTTAATAAGTGAAATATTTTCTATCAATATGGTCAAGGCGTTGCTGTAGAGAGTGACACACAATATAATCTGCGTACGAAATGGGTAATTTCTGCGACTTATTTTTTTTTCTTTACGATTTCGCTCTGCAACAGTATGAGTTTTTGGGATTCCTAATATAACTCGAGTTCAAAGTGAACAGCCTTTGTCATCCATTCTGCATCATAAATGAATAAGATCAAGATCATTATTATACAATAAGATATAATGATGTATTATAATGCTAAAATCTATCGATAAGTTTTTTAATACATTATAAGAGATAAATTAGTATTAAGACCCATTTTATAATTGTTGCCTCTTGTATGCAATATGAATTTCGTTTAAATATGAAAAAAATTCTGACATTTTTAAAAGAAATAATGCTAACGTTAACTATATGAATCTGTTGTACGTACTTATAATAGCATAACTGACTTGTCCATTTGTACTCAAATCCGGATCTTGTGCAGTTACAGTTAGAATTCCAGTATTTATAGCTGTATCTTCTGGAACTGTTACTTGGAACGTGCTCTGGAAAAACACAAAGACGCTCTATAGTATGAAGGCTTACTGTAAACGTATTACATTTGGCTGTGTATTCTTTTTAGCGGCTTTGGCGGATCGCAGCAACCGCTAAATCAAGTACATAGCTAAATGTCTTGCACGTATACACATAAATAAGAATATGAAGAAATGCGCTAAATCAAATTAATCTACGCTAACTTATTCAAATTCAATTTCCGCCGAATATCGTACACGCTAAATATAATACATTTACAGTATGTCATATAACTCTCAAATTTGTTTTTGTTTGAAATATACTTAAGTCACAGCAATGAGATCAAAACGTTTATTTAGAGTTTTATTAGAGTTTTGAAGGTAATATAGAATAGAGGTTTGCATCGATCTAGAAAGAAGGGGCTCAAATCACCAGGACGTAACAGAGACGGTGTCACAGGAATTGTACAGCCTGAAGGTTCAGACACCATCTGCTTACTTATATGAGATGTTGTTTTTACTCGTTTTTTTTTTTAAATGTATCATTTAAGTAAAATACAAACAAAGATAGCAAAGCTTGCGGGGCAAAATTGGACAAAAAAAGACAACTTATCAATTTTATAAAGGAAAAATTAGACATTATGCCTTTAAAAGTTGTCTTTCTTATCAGAGTTACAATAAACCTTAAGCAAATGATGGCGTCCCAATAAGAATGAAAAATTCTCGAAAGGACATAGAGCAGACCCTTTTTAACCAACAAACCATGACTTACATTAATAGAAGTTGCATTGCTAAGAGCATTGTAACTGTTACTTGTATTTCTTTAGTAGAATACTAGTAGTTGATTGTGGAGTTGATCGCGACGTCTGAGCAATTTTACCTGGGAGAAGGTCGGAGTGTTGTCGTTCTTGTCTGTTACTGTGATGGCTACAGTTCCCAGGATTTTAGACGCTATCTGATTGGACGAATGAGCAGAGACACTGATGATGTAATTATCCAGGACCTCTCTGTCAACTTCATCTCTTGCAAGGTAAATTCTACCTAAGGTATAAAAGTCTAAAGCTATGTTTCGCCTTAAGTATTTCGTTGTTGTTGTTGTTGTCTTGCTCATTAATTTCACTATTTTAAATATTTTAAGGAGACTGTATTTTGAGAGGCTCACCAGTTTTTGATTCAATGCCGAATAGAGAGGTTACGTCCTCTATTTTGTAAGTTACTTCAGCATCAACAGTTCCGGCTAAGTCAGCGTCTGTAGCACTTATCATTTGTACAAATGTTCCCGCAGCAGAATTTTCAGGCAAAGCTTAATATAAACCATTAGAACTTAGTGTACGTCTTGCATAAGCAAAGAATAAATTTACTAAAATATCGATGCATTATTCTAAGTTTTCAGCAAAAAAGACGAAACGTAAACTTAATTTACGAAGCATGCCTAAGAGACATTACTTGCAGTGTAGGCTCCATTAGTTGGAGTTTCCCATTGTGGAACATTGTCATCGATACCCGTGACGTAAACATCAATAGTCACTGTGGTTGTGAGCGCAGGTGCAGGTCCGGCGTCGGCAACTTCCGTTATCAGTCTGTACTGGATGGCTTCTGTGTCGGCATCTATCTGGCTCTTCAGTTTTAATAGTTGTCCGACAATTTTAAATTTATCAAGAGCATTACCTGTACATATTAAAAAATACATTACCTATTTTACTTTAAGGACAGGTGATACAAACAAAAAATGGATGCCTGGATTGTTAGATATTTTTTGACCTAATTTCATTGCAAATGATGCAAATAATAAATTCCTAGAATATAAGGCAATTGTAAACCTTCTGTGATGTTCAAAATTCTACCCTTCTGAAACAATCCTTATTATTCTATACAAATAATTTTCACTTCAAATATCATTATTGTGCAACTTTGAATAAAAAATAAAAAATGTGCGGTTAAACTTATTCATCTTATTCATTAAAACATGACACAAGGTGTTATTTTCAAAATTTTTGACAAAAGTTTGTTGGTATCATCTGTCCTTAAATATCTTTAAAATTGTAATGCATATTTTGCTTTAGTTAACAGTTCTTAATTCATAAACTTTTAATACTCAGTAAAATTATGTGATCATTAAAGTCAATTATATGGCCAGTTTCTATAGCATTTTTTTATCTATATAAACCTTATATTCGAGAAACAAAATGTGATTCTTTGATTCATTCCGTTATCAATAATATTAGTAAATGAAGCCATAGTGTTTTCTCCATGTCACCCTAGTTATCTCCAATTGAAAGGACAAACATGAATTTTATGTTACCTTCGAGATAATAATGCTTTGAATAATCTTAGATCGTCTGGAGAAAAAGAAACTGTCAAAGCTTAATACTTTGATTCATACTTGTGCATGTATATTAAGAAAATCTTACTATATTCAGAAAAAAATGATAAACCATTACAGCAGACTAGGTGTTACGTACCTGCAATGATGGTATAGGTCAAAGCACCAGCGTCTACATCACTACAGCTAATGTCCTGGAGCTGACTGTCAACAGCAGTGGTCTCCGATAATGTAAGGGCGAAGTAACTGGCCGAACACACCTACAACAAAAACAGTCAACTAGTACAGCGCACACACAGTCAACTAGTACAGTACACACAGTTGACTAGTACTCCTACAAAAATCACAATCTATTAGTACACTTACAACAGAACACATTCAAATAATACGCCTACAACAAATCACAGTCAACTGGTACAGTAAATAGTAGTTGTTTCCAGTAATGTAAGAGCAAAGAAACTGGCAGAACACACAGGCAACAGAAAATAGTTTACTAGTACAACTACAACAACATATTGTCAACTAGTACACCTACAACAAAACACAGTTAACTAGTACTGTGGTACATCTATAACAGATCAAAGTCAACTAGTACACCTACACAATACACAGTACATCTACAACAGAAAACAGTCAACAAGTACAGTGACAGTCAACTGGCAGGACACACCTACAACAGAGCAAAGTCAACAAGTACAGGAAAACATGTGTAAAGAAGAATGTAAATTGTACAGTAAAACACGATTATAGTAAATTCATCTAGTATAGTAAAATAATTATGTTTAAGGCGAAGTCAACTAGGACAGTAAACCTTGCTTATAGCAAATTAACAGGAACAAACAATTTTGAATTGTTATAGGTGTAGGTTGTGTTGCATCATGAAAAACTCCAGGGTAAAACAATCGTTATTAAAAGGGATTCGTCATAAAATAAATTCTATATAAAACAAATAATTTTTTTTTTATATTTAAATATAAATAAATTAATTTCATACTCACAGGTGCCTTGTCATTGGCGTTGAGAACATTGACAGTTAGTGTGGCAGTTGACATTTTTTGAGGTGAAATTCCTTGATCCACCACTTGTACTGTTATAGTATGTGTCTGGGCAACCTCGAAATCGAGTGGTTCTTTGAGGTACACAGATGCCGTCGTCGGATTAATTGAGAACTTTGTTGAATCAGCTGATGCTATTTGTATGAAATGCAAAGTATTTTTTTTATCAAAGTAAGGAGATGGGTGAACTTGGCGTGCAGGAAGCCCAGTAGCGTCAGACATATAAAAATCATTTTCAAATTTTGAATTTATTATTTAGAGTAAACATCTCATCGTTGATTTTTATGAAATCATGAGAAACAAAAAGTTTGAGGAAAATTTTTCGTTAAAATTCATTCTTTTATATAAAATAAAATAATGTGGTATCCATTGGATTCGAACCCTGGCAATAAAAATCCTGAGTTGCATTCTATGTCGCGACTAGCACGCTAACCACTTCGCTACACAAGTCCTGGTGAAGTGTGGCATTTAAATCATGTTTGTTATATGACCATTGACTTAAGGGACTTCAAGTATTTCTCGAAAAGATACGAAAGTTATGTCATACAATTATATTTTTAAGGTATAGTGGATCTTTGCTCCATAATTTTGAAAACCAAAATATGTATGTTTTTATGCAAACTTTGAGGATTACCTTTCAAAAAATGGAGAGAATACCCACTCATAACGAAAAATAGTGTTATAGTGTGAAAAAATGACTCGTTTTGTCCCCTTTCGTGTGTGTATAATATTACATAGGCAAATTACTTCGATCTTCATGAGATTTGTGCAAGTTGTAGAGATTTTACAAAAAGTATACTTTAATGTTAGATGAAATATTAAGGACAATTTTGATATAATTGAGATTTAATTTTTCACCTTCATGTTTGTCGCGCTTTGGGCTTATCTCTCGTCATGTTCACCCATCTCCTTTAATGGTTAAAATTAGGAAGGCAAAAAAAAAAATCAAAATGAATTTTATATCTTTCCTTGAATAATCATAACCATACTTTATAATTTTAACAGTTCAAGTAGATATCCAATGGATTTTTAAAAAACTAAATTGCAAAATTAATACTTTTCCTAGATGGCATTTTATGTTCCTCGAATACTTGTAACAGCATTAAAAATGAGATCCATGGGATAAAATGCTCAACTGTGTTACCTTAGTCCTGCTTCAAAAAAATTAAAGTTCCCTCTGTTATCCTGTGCAAAATTTAAACTCAAGAATATGGCCCAAACAGTGTGGTAGCTTAGTGGCTGGGCATGCGCCTCGTGATTGGGAGGCCCTGGTTTGATTCTTGTTTGCCGCGCAAACGCGTCAAATCTAAGACGTCAACATACGTAGTGACTTTGCCCAGTGTTCTACATTAAGAGTGAAAGTAACGGGTTTTTCAGATATGATTTTTAAGACCACCGGCGTAGCTAGGCTCAAAATGAAGTGCATGCTAAAATTGGCAAGGGGTCTGGGGCCGCCCTGAGGCCCCCAGTGGGTAGGGATCCAGGGGGCGAAGCCCCCGGAAGCTCCTGGATTCTGACGATTTAAACACTTATAAAATCATAAAATAAATGAAAATACATGTCTTGACCCGCTTTATATTAGAAATAAAACCAAGGAACCTTTATGATAGTAATCTTGGAGAGATCCGTCGAGACTAAAAATTTTGTTCAGACACCAGTATATAAATGGTGCCTGTTTTGGAGGGTAACAGTTGAAATTGACACCCCAAGGAAAATCATTGTCAACTGACGCGTCAGAGGAGGTTGACAGTGGTTCCCCAAGGGGTGTCAATTTCAATTGTTACCCTCCAAAGCAGGCAACATTTATGTTATTATACTGAATGTCTTCTTAAATTAAGTCAGCAAAAAAAAAAATCGTCGATCATCTTTACGTTCACGTTTACAAAGCTTTCAAACTCCTCGCTACTTCGAAAAAGATTTACTGACCTTTTTATTGTTTGTTTGACACTCTAAGAGTCTTTTATCATATAAAGTTTCGTTATTTCTGCACTCGCAAGCATGTTTCGTCTGTCGTTTGTTGTTTTCAAGTAAGCTACATCGGACGCAAGCTTTTATTGACGTCAAGTTTATTCCAGTTCTTTCAAACGCGCAACTGACGTTTTGAGAATTCTACGGTGAACCGTACGCGCATAATATCCACGCATGTGGCATTACCGTTGTGTTATCCGTTGTCACATGCGTTGTTAAGGCTTAGGGTAATAGAACGGATTGTTAACTGCGTCTAAACCAATCAGATTTTAGTATTTAACATGAAAGTATAATAAACCAAAATGTTTAGTTTCTACTGATCTCATTGAGATTATTATAATAGTAGAGAGACTTTTTTTTAAATTTTAAATCTTAACGTTGAAGTATGTACGGGCTGTCGTAGTTTATTAGCATCTATCAACAAATTAAATTTTAGTGTTGAATAGACCAATCTGAGTTGCGAAAATTAGATGATTAAGGCATATCCACATTTATAATTCTATGGGTTCAATGTAGAAAAATGCATTTACTTTCATTAAAAACCGTTTAGATTAATAAGTAAAAGTATATTAAAAATTATGTTACATTTGGCTGCATGGTTAAAATACATAATTCTAATAAATTGTCATGTCCTGAATTTTGAATTTACCAGGTGGGAGTAAATACGAAATTTGGCTTTACTCTCACCCGGTAAATTCAAAATTTAGAACATGACAAAATGCTGAACGTTCCAAATTAATTCTTACTTTTTAATATGCTTGAACTATGAATATCAGGAAAAATTTCTGTTTTAGAAGTACAATACAGAAATTTCCTGGATGAAGGTACATAAGAAGGAGTTTTTCACTGCGGGAAAACTTTTTAAAGATTGAGTAATTGATTAAATAACGGAAATATTCATTTTTAAATTATTTTACTAAATAACATTTTTCATTACACCTTTCAAACGATATATTTCTACTAGAAAAAACTTTTTCTTTCAAAAAGCTATGCCATCACACGAGGGTGGAAATGCCTTAAAAATCAATAATCTTTTTGACCTTACCCGCCTTAACAATTTTCGAACTCATATAAATAAAACATGTAAAGAAAATTCGCAGTGGTTGGTTTCTTATTTCACCGATTACATGTACTTATATTTATCATTTTTTTCATGCATCATATTATTTATTTATTTATTTATTTATTTTATTTTGTTACTTTCTTTTCTTTTTTTGGCAAAATGATGTGCATGCTCGAGCATACAAGCATACATGGTAGCTACTCCACTGAAGACCTAAGCCGCATTGCCACTCTGGGTGACTGCACAATAAGGAACCCGCACTTGCCCGAATGCCGAGTATACATATACCTGGTAGGTCTTGTTTTGAAGCCCGTCACCGGCACACGGTGGTGCATATAGGCTACTTGAGTTAAAATTTCTAAAATATGATGTAAATTCTAAATCAAGTAATTAATGATTCAAGATATAACAAGCTAAAGAAAATTTCGTCAAAATTAAATCAGGCTATTTTTTTTAATCAACAATAGAATCTTCAACATTAGTACTACAAAGTAGTTAACTCTTTTTAGATAATTCTACCGAGACGGTACATTCAATGAATCTTTACTAGCATTTTAGGAAGCTCTATTTAGATATTCAAAATTCTAAATCAAACAATCGTAAATCAGTGAACCTTGAATGGTAGATACAGTCGACTGTGCATTGGCTGAGTCTATCTTATCTGTTTCCTGTACAGTCAGCTGATAGAGAAGGGTCCCAACTGGCGTACTTTCGCTCACGTCAACAGATGGCGTTGTCTGATGAAATGACGGAGTCATCTCGTTAACAGATGAGATTTCAATGTCTATCGTGACGTCACTCGAGAGTTGTGGAATGCCTCCGTCCGTTGCACGCACCACTAACTTTAGAATAAAAATTAAATTATGTGCTTGTTTAAAAATTATTATTTAATAAGAATTTGTCGATTTGTGTGTAATCTCTTAGAAATCATTTGACTCAAAGGCTACAATATACCTCTTTTGATTGAAGAAACACTCACTTGAAATGCTGCATTTGAAGGAGTTTCAAAGTCTATTATTCCATCAGTTACAAGTCTGACGTCACAATTTTCTGCATTATTCTGCACATCAAAAGCCCCGGCTGCGTTCCCAGAAACAATGGAATAGGTCAAAGTTCCGCCGGCTCCACTATCTGCATCGGTACACGTGAGTGTGGTCAAGACGGATGTGGCTTTTTGGTCCTCAGATATGCTGAGGAAGACATAACTGTTTGTGCATTTCTGTAGAGAAAATTGTTTGGATCATACAATGGTAATAAAACCCCTTTTTTTAATGGAGAAAATCTCATGCATGAAACATATGGAGATAACGAACAGTTTTCAAGATTCATTTAAATTGAAATATTATTTTGGGTACATAATGAAAAATCCTCATTATTACAATAATACATTTTCCCTAAAACTATAAAAAAAAAATCAGATCTTTCAAAGTTTTATAATGATCATACTGGTGTGTTATCATTTATGTCCTGAACGGTCACCAGAATGTTTGAGGTCGCTTGTTGCTGAGGTAACAATCCCTGATCCGTGACGACAATGGTGAGGTTGTGTGATTGCGTCACTTCATAATCAAGACTCTTTCTCAGATAAAGTCCAGACATGTCTCCTATGAAGAATTTGTCTGCTCCCGTTCCGCCTGATAAATATTTAAAAAAAAAAGATGAATTTAATTTGCTTTGTTGAAATCATGTATTGCAGTTTATTCGACAGTCAAAACTTTCATTAGGTATTTTAAACTATTTTTTATTCCCATTTCACCCCTGCATATTGTTTTTGTTTTCATTATTTTTATTTTTGGCTATTACATATTCTTAGTTCTCAGAAGTCAGCAGCCATTCTTATTTTTATTTTTCCTTTTTAAGTATTATCTAATATGTTTTTTTTCTTCTTCATATCTTTACCACTATAGGTGTAATTTACACCATTTTATTATTACCTGTATATATAAAATACATGGTTACTGTCTGGAAATATAAGCGATATCTGGGCGAGGGTAAGAAAACGTGATAGAGGTCGAGGCTTGCCGAGCCCTCTTACGTTTTCGACCCAAGCCCAAATATCGCTTATATTTCAAGACAGTTATCATGTATTTTGTTTATCCTGCAACAAAATTTTACATTTGAACGTCCAAAACGAGCTATTTCCGACAGATTTAGGCACATCTCTGCAGTTGAAACTATGACGCCATGGCGTAAACATTGCAGTATACGTGACGTCAAAATGCTTTTAGAACGTCGGAATACATGCACGAGGCTTTATTAGGGTAGTGACCGCGGATAAAGCTTTGGTTTATTAGGTTACCTTTATTAGGTCAATGCAAGGGGTAGTTGCAGGATAAAGGTGTAATTTGTAGCATTCTATTATTACCTGTTATAGTAATTTTGTAGCCCTGCACTTCATCCATTCCATTGACAAGGATGATGTCGTCATCTGTGACGGCGATACCTAACATCATCACGTTTGTTGCCTGGTTTTCAGGGACTGTTACACTGTATGGCACGCCAGTAAACACGGGGATGTTGTCATTAGCTGATAATACCTCTATGTTGATTGTGACGTCACTTGTTAATGAAGGGGTCCCTCCATCAGCAACTCGAATGCCCAACTTAAAAAAAAAATGAAATTAATTTATTTTTGTAAATATCGTTAAATGTATAAGAAATTGAGTAAAATCGATTTCGAACCATTAGTAATTTTAAGATTGTAAAATTTGTGTTACCGAGTATGATCGAGTTCCAAAATCAAAATCCGGGTTGTGTAACAGTTTTCAAATCGCAGGAAGTACCGAGCTCCCAAGCAGCTTCGCCGTTTCCAGAAATGATAGAACATGTCAGCGTGCCGTCTGCTCCGGTATCGACGTCAACACATCCTAAACTCACCACAGTGGTAGAAGGAGCAACTGATTCCGAAATCGACACCAGTCGTGTGGTTGGGTTGCAATCTGGTGCCGTGTTGGCGCCTATATTTAAACGATGGGAAATTTTATTCATAGCTTGAGAAAAAAAAACATGCCGTGCATTTTGTGTAAACTTGGTTGTTTGTTTATTATACCCCCCGCTTGAAAAGCGGGAGGGTATATAGTAATCGTTAATTCCGTCCGGTTTGGGGTACCCATCTCTTATCCGCAACTCCTCTCATACCACTGAATGAAATTTGATGAAACTTTCATAGAATCTTTATTACATATTGCCACTGTGCACCTCCTATTTTACTTTTTGATCCGACACATATTTTGGGTTTCACGGCCACAGCAAAACATTGACTTTGCCATTATAACTTTATGGAGTCGGGGGGTATCATTTAGTGAGCTCATCGCTCACAGTACCTCTAGTTTGTTATATATTTTTAAGGATAAGGAAATAAATCAATAATAACAACAATCATTACATACCCCCTTCTCCTTCCAATGTTAAAGCAATGTATAATAAAAGAAAAATTCAAAGAATGGCAGGGAAAATTTCTGAGATAAAATAATTTTAGTTTTCCCTTTTCCCATTATTTTTCAGTATTCCTATATAATGTTTAAAATCATCTTTAACGTTGAAATTATTGGACTTATAAAAAAGATGGTTTTGAATAAAAGTTTTAACAAATTTTAACTGGATTAATTATTCTCAAATCTGTGTTGATCCGAATGAGAAAATGTAATGACTTACCGACGCAGCGAACAAAAACTCCGTGAAGAATAATAGGCGCGACGAACTTTATCCATAACACAGGGAAACCCATCTGGATTTATGTAAGTATTCCTATTTAACAAATATTTTTTAACCTTGTTCGCAATTTAGTCATTAGAGTAAACCCTTACTCAGATTTGAATTCTTATGAATATTAAGGAATGTTGCAAACTCTTTTCATTTAAAAGATGGTTTAACCTAAAATGTATATTTTGACAATGAATGTGTATTTTCTTGATTTTTTTTTTTGTGTCATTGAGGGTAACCATAGGTTACAATCCCTGTGTTAAATGTATGGTCTGTATAGATCGAAGATTCATGAAATACATACAGTCTTTCACAAAGACATGCTGAAATAATTTTAATTTTATTTAAAATGTATTTTGTATCATTTAAAGGTAAATGACTGAAAAGCCTTTCTGTAGGTTTATTACTTTCAATGAACAACTGTACTGGGCGAAATGGAATGACCCGTATAAAAAAGGGGGATTATTTCACATCAGTGATCGAATGACTCCTCTTAAACACCTATTTCATTATCTCACCAAATAAGAGTGTATAAAACGAGAAACGGTATTTATATCACGAAAAATTCTCTCTCTCTCTCTCTCTCTCTGGAAAAATGAATGAATTTGAGGGCCCTGATTGTTGAATTTGATGAAAGGAATTTAATTCGTAATAACATATTTTAGAATTTGTTTAAATGATTTTAATTTGTAATGACTATTTTCAAAATTATGACTAATTTCAAAATTCCTTATTATAATTTTTTGAATTTGTTACAAAGAATTCAAAGAAACTGTTAAACGAATTAAATTCGATTAACTAATTCGATCAAAAATATTTTTGATAGGTCCTTAATGGGCTTCCTTAATATCTAGCTTAAAGTTAAATTTGTTCAACGTTTTTAATAGACACCAGGTTGGTGTTATTAAAAAAAATATTGCAACGAATTCAATTCGTTTAAGTGAATTCTAAAACTTGTTGTAACAAATCAAATGCGTTTAAACAAATTCTAAAATTTGTTTTAACAAATAAAATTCGTTTAATCTCATTCAACAATCAGGCCTATTGAAAAATATAATTGTATCAAATTGATATAACGATTTGTCGAATTCATTCTGACGAATTTAATTCGATATTCTTAGAATGTGTTATAAAACAGGCCTATAGAAAAATATAAATTGATTTGATATAACGATTTGTCGAAAGCATTCTGACGTATTGAATTCGATATTTTTAGAATTTGTCATAAAAAATATTTGCTACAGAAATTTTTTGAATTCGTTATAACGAATTAAATTCGTTATAATGAATTCGAAAATGTGTTATATTGAATTCAATTTTTCATAGGTTCAAAAGGACTTCCATACGTTTCAAAAGAACATAATGAACTTGAAATTAACATCAAAGCGTCTAACAGGTATATACTCGTAGTTGGATGTTTTATTGACTAAAGGCCAAATATAGCAATAAACTGTATGACACATGATGTTTGGATTTCCCAACTTATTTGATAATCAAGAGCATGCTCCGAGTGCGAACACATTTTAAACTAAGGCAAGCTTGTAACAGATAATTTGATGTTACAGGGATTTAATTAAATAATATAGTATGAAGTCAGCATTTTGCACATTCTATGGTCGTTGTAATAACCTTGTCAGTACTTTTAATATTTTGATCATATTTTGGCTAACTGTTGTTAGATCCACTATTATTTTTAGTTTAAAATAAATGAATACTATTTAAATACTAAAATGAGTTAAAAACCTTGGGATAAAAACTATTGATTGGATCCAAACCATCCCATTCTCTTAAAACAAAGCAACAAACATGCTAATTACCAAATTTTATTGTTAAAAGGCCTTTGTGCTATATAAAAAAAATCAGACATACCAGGCAAAAAGATCACTAGAATATCCTTCTATTTAAAATATCTTGCTTCAGTGTAAACATCGTTCATTACTCGCTTTCATTTTGATTCAGTGGTTGGGGGAGGTGGGAAACCACCGCGTCCTCTCTTTCTGCTTGCTTCAGTGGTTGGGGGAGGTGGGAAACCTTCGTTTCCTCTCTTTCTGCTTGATTCAGTGGTTGGTGGAGGTGGGAAACCACCGCGTCCTCTCTTTCTGCTTGCTTCAGTGGTTGGGGGAGGTGGGAAACCTTCGTTTCCTCTCTTTCTGCTTGCTTCAGTGGTTGGTGGAGGTGGGAAACCTTCGTTTCCTCTCTTTCTGCTTGATTCAGTGGTTGGGGGAGGTGGGAAACCTTTGTTTCCTCTCTTTCTGCTTGCTTCAGTGGTTGGTGGAGGTGGAAAACCACCGCGTCCTCTCTTTCTGCTTGCTTCAGTTGTTGGTGGAGGTGGGAAACCACCGCGTCCTCTCTTTCTGCTTGCTTCAGTTGTTGGTGGAGGTGGGAAACCACCGCGTCCTCTCTTTCTGCTTGCTTCAGTGGTTGGTGGAGGTGGGAAACCACCGCGTCCTCTCTTTCTGCTTGCTTCAGTGGTTGGTGGAGGTGGGAAACCACCGCGTCCTCTCTTTCTGCTTGTTTCAGTTGTTGGTGGAGGTGGGAAACCACCGCGTCCTCTCTTTCTGCTTGCTTCAGTGGTTGGGGGAGGTGGGAAACCACCGCGTCCTCTCTTTCTGCTTGCTTCAGTGGTTGGGGGAGGTGGGAAACCTTCGTTTCCTCTCTTTCTGCTTGATTCAGTGGTTGGTGGAGGTGGGAAACCACCGCGTCCTCTCTTTCTGCTTGCTTCAGTGGTTGGGGGAGGTGGGAAACCTTCGTTTCCTCTCTTTCTGCTTGCTTCAGTGGTTGGGGGAGGTGGGAAACCTTTGTTTCCTCTCTTTCTGCTTGCTTCAGTGGTTGGTGGAGGTGGGAAACCTTCGTTTCCTCTCTTTCTGCTTGATTCAGTGGTTGGGGGAGGTGGGAAACCTTTGTTTCCTCTCTTTCTGCTTGCTTCAGTGGTTGGTGGAGGTGGAAAACCACCGCGTCCTCTCTTTCTGCTTGCTTCAGTTGTTGGTGGAGGTGGGAAACCACCGCGTCCTCTCTTTCTGCTTGCTTCAGTGGTTGGTGGAGGTGGGAAACCTTCGTTTCCTCTCTTTCTGCTTGATTCAGTGGTTGGGGGAGGTGGGAAACCTTCGTTTCCTCTCTTTCTGCTTGATTCAGTGGTTGGTGGAGGTGGGAAACCACCGCGTCCTCTCTTTCTGCTTGCTTCAGTGGTTGGTGGAGGTGGGAAACCACCGCGTCCTCTCTTTCTGCTTGCTTCAGTGGTTGGTGGAGGTGGGAAACCACCGCGTCCTCTCTTTCTGCTTGCTTCAGTGGTTGGTGGAGGTGGGAAACCACCGCGTCCTCTCTGTTCTGTATTAAGATATTTAGTTTATTTTTGCATTAATATCTGTGAAGCTATATCTATTGCAATAAAAAAAGATTGTAACAGTTGCTCATAAAAAGTCTTACCTATTATTTCCAGGCTTCTGATCAACTTTTCCAAATCAATTTCTTCATCATTTTGAGCTCGTTTAATCTTCAATAGAAAAAAAATATTCGAAAGATTTATTAGGAAATTCGTGGTTCTTTACATGAAAAAAAAATAGTTTGAAATACATCCTACGTTTGAAAGTAATACTGCGGAAATTAATGCCTAAACAGGAATATTTAAAAGCATGATTTGACCATTTTTCTTTGTTTGTTTTTTTTTTTATATTTAGTGTCCAAGGCGTAAATACGATTGCTAAGATTTTGCTTTAATTTGGTATTAATATTAAGATAAAATGTCAGAAAACAAGAGGCCTACGGGCCTTATAGGTCACCTGAGTATCATGTAACAACTTTCTAACACTTGAATTGGTTCGTGTTTTAAACCAAAGGCCATGAAATTTACAATTTTGAAAGAGGCACCATTGCTTATCATAACTATACACTTATCTTGCTTACTTTGGTTACTTAAGGTCAACATCTAGTAAATAACTTTAGACCAATTTTTTGGTGCTAGACCCATTAAGACGTCATAATCAATTTCAACGTTCTTTTTCCCGTACTTTACGGATTTAGCAGAATTATGTAGAAAATAGGGTATTTTCACGACGTTCAATTTGAAATCATATGAAAAGTAAACTGGATACCTATATTAAATTTGATATTGATTTAAAGAGGAGGCAATGAACATACCAATTACTGTTTTCTGAGAGACTGTAGGCAATCTTGATACATTTCCTTTGTCGAATATGCAAAAACAACCTCCCATATTAATGAGTGGTTTTCTTAATTTTTCATTGAAAATGACAGTTTAAAATACAGTTTGTCATCTTGTTTACCTACAAATCATGCCCCGAAACACCTTATTTGACCAAGCTAAATTTGTAAAGCATCAATAAAGGAATTTATTTCCCAAATTTGATAAATCTGTGGGCACCTTTCTAGATCTTGACCTTAATACCCACAGGAAGATCATATAAACAAAGAGAAAATGCACTTCCACTTTAGAACTAGTTGTGCAGTCCATCCCACAGGAACCACTGACCATGGGACCACATATTTCAAAATCTATAAAATTTTATTATTGATTTTATTTCATCATAAATGTTGATTAATTCCATAGAGCAGATTTCAAAGCATTAATTTATTTTCAGACTATGTAACCCCAACCCCAAGTACCTCAGACCCAGGCCTAGGGGCCCTGAAATTAATCATTCTGGAAGGGACATCTTTAATCATAACTAATATGTACTTAGGTCAAAGGCATAATACCCTGGAGCAAAGGAAAATATTTTCAAAGAATTCATGCATTTTCACTATATAATCATTTGAGCTCCACCCTAACACCAAAACTCCTGACCCAGGGGCCCTGAAATTCACAAATCTGTATGAGGAATCCTTCCTCATCATATATCTATGTACATAGTTCACTGGTTTAATACCCAGGAGCAGAGAAGATTTTAAAATAATTAATGTATTTTCATTATATAATCAATAAAGCCCCGCCCTAACCCTAGCTGGGGCCTAGAAACCCTGAACCTGGGGTCCTGAAATTTACAATTTTGGAAGAGGCAGCCTTATGCAACATACATGTAACTATGTACTTGGTTAGTTTATTGAATACCCAGGAGCAGAGGAAAAGATTTTTAAAGAATTAATCCATTTTCACTGTATAACCAATAGAATTCCACCCTAACCCCAGAACTCCCAACCCAGGGGCCATGAAATTCACAATTTTGGAAGAGATATTCTTGCTCATCATAACTTTGTACTTGGTTAGTTTGTTTAATACCCAGGAGCACAGAAAAAGATTTTCAAAAACAATATATGCATTTTCACTATATAATTAATAGAACCCCGCCCTTTCACCAGAGCCCTGATCTCGGGGCCATGAACTTCACAATTTTGGAAGAGGCAGCTTTATTCAACATAACTGTGTACTTAGTTATTTTCCTTAAGGCCCAGGTGCAGAGAAAAAGATTTTCAAAAAAAATAATGCATTTTCCCTAAATAACCTATTAGCCCTCCCTAGCACTAGAACCCCTGATCCCGGGCCATGTATTTCACAATTTTAGTAGAGGACTCAGTGCTGATTACAATCATACCAACAGTTTGACTGCTTGATGTCCAGGGATAAAGAAGAAGATTTTTAAAGATTGCATTAATTTAAGTGGTTTTGGCCCCACCCCTCAGGCCCCAGAGGGGGGGGGGAGGGACCATGAAGTTCAAAATTTTTGTTCCCCTTTACCCATAGATGCTTTATGCCAAATTTGTTGAAACTGGCTGAGTGGTTGCAGAGAAGAAGCTGAAAATGTTCAAATGTTCACGCACGACGACGGACAAAAACGGATAGGTGACCTAAAAATTTTGTTGGATTTATTGTTACGGAGGTCAAGTTTTAGCAATAAAATAGAAATTTTCGACAAAAGATAAAATTACAATTTGTTTTAACAGTTTAACGTATTTCACTCCCGAGATAATGATTAAGACTGTTTAGAACTTTAGCGAAAAATGATTGCTGTATTAAGTTTACGGAGTTTAAATTTTTGAGGGAGACATAGAATCGATGATATCTGTTTTCAAGGTCACTTTTAGAAAAGTATCAGATCTTTTTGAACTTTGTGAAATCTGTATTCCGTGTAGAAATTTCAAACAAAATAGTTACGGTAGTAGATTTTTAACTTGCTGCTTTTTGTATAAAAGATTTAACATCTCTGCATATCATTATTTGTTTAATTCGACGCTTAAAATATATTATATGCAAAGCTTTGACACAACTGTGTCCTTAATATCAATCTTTATCGTATTTCAATGAAAAAGGATGAAGATATTATTACTTTAAGAAGAGTAAAGCGGACACCTCCTGCAGGATGATACCGAACCCTTCAGTCCACTGAATTGTCACTGAAAGGTCCGGAAAGCTCACGGAATGACGGAATCACCTTTCAGTAAACTTTCAGTTAACAGAATGACACAAAGTTTCATCCATTGTTGTTAGTTTAATAAATTAGTTCAGTGAAATATATGGAGATAACGAACAGTAAATTAGTTCAATAAATAATGTTTCAAACACTCTTACCCTGAAAGCTTCGCAGGACAGGACGGCCAGCACCACAAGAGCCAGAGACAGTAGGGTCTTCATCCTCACGATCGGTGTTTTCTGCTGAGGTGGCTCTGCATAATCGCCTTATATAGTCTACTCACCCGCACATGAACTAAGTACACCCTCAGGCTACTTACGCACTGTCCATTTGCATCTATGGTAGTGCAAAACATCCATGAATTTATTTTTTTAAGCTCTTATAAAATATATCAGAAAAAAGAAAAACATCACTATAATGTTCATAATCAATGATCTGTGTAAGAAAAGTGATAAACTATGAGATGTTTTTTGTATATTTTGTTTAAAAATGAAATTATTTTATATACTAGTATTTTATCATTTAGACGTCATCCTCTGATTTTTTTATTTGGCTTAAGAGCTTTGTTGAGACGTTAGGCAGGACTACTGAGTATTTAAAATAATACCTTGTAAACCATCAGCATCACATCTGATTCACATTAATGTTTTATTTTTAGCATCGTAATATTAAAGATAACAATTACTTAGTATCTTTAAAAAGTCCAACGTAGGAATTAGTATAAATCTTGGTTTTTTTCTTTGGTCGCTTCCAGAAACTACATGGTGCACTCAATTTTCACAAGATTTAATGGAAATTATAAGAAAAATGTTCCATTTTTGAAACCTAGGAGTAGAAATCCTTTTCAAAAAGTAATAACGATTATGATGTCCTTTATTTATACAGTTAGTTTACAAAACTTGTTGACACTATCGTCCAAAAACATTGATACAGAAAAAAATAAAATATGTACGGAAACAAATACGAAAAGATATGAATTTCTTTTTTTTTTTTCAAAGTATGAATAAAAAATCAGATATTGTGTTTTTTAACAGAAAAGATGCACCGTGAAACTAGTATAAATCTGTACTTTTCAATGATAAATGAAGATTGAATAAAAAGAGGGTTCTCACGCGAAAAACTATATATGAATTCATCTGTTGTACGTATTTTTAATCCTCTGCCCTATGGGTTAATTTGTATTTGGTTTTTCATGTACCCCTCTGTTTTTGTTGTGTACTGTACTTTAGAATAACCTTAAAAACATTAAAATATAGTTGAGATGTACATGTAGAAGCTTTGTAAAGATAATATTTCTAATCTCTTTTTAAACATGTGCCCTTAAGATACTAGTAATCGTGTTATTTTTATAATGAGTGTGGAGAGAGATGATAATGCCTCTTTCATTTTCTGAAAGATTATTTAATCAAGAGATTGCAACATTGCTATAAAAGAGAAAATGAGGAGTGTGAACTTTAAATGTCTTACTTTGTTTTATTTTTAAAATTTATTGAGGAAAAATTTAAAAAACAAAGAAATTTATTTAATGAATTGAGAAACTACAATTTCCATCTTTGATTTATACACAGATATATGTCCTCCATGTCTCATAGGATTATATTTCTAATTTTATCGAATCAAATACTAGTATACCCTTTATCGCTTTATCTTTAAAATAAGGAGAATAATAATGAAAGAAATGGGATGCTTTGTTTGATCCAATTTTTCCTACTGGTCCCGGACATACATAACTTTATGCTAGATATTCAAAGTAAAATACATATACAAAAAAAAAAAGAAACAGTAATCAAGCACATATGTTAATAAATCATTAAAAGTTAAGGACAGATGATACAATCCAAAAGTTTTTTGCCTGGATTGGTATATATTTTCAGAGACATGTCTCTTATATTTTTTTTTTTGCCTAATTTTATTGATAATGATTCAAATAATATATTTCTAGAGTATAAAGAAATTGTAAACCTTCTGTAATGTTAAAAAATCTACCCTTCTGAAACTATCCTTATTCATAATACGGTAATCTATACAAATATTTTTCACTTTAAATATCATTTTTGTGAAACTTTGAACTTATTTAAACATAACGCACGTTGTTACAAAAGTTTGTATTATGTCCTCAAGACCAGAGGATCCCTGAAATAATCAAATGTAGGATTGGGTGCAATAGAGGATTAAACATCCCCTGTCAACCAGTCACATAATGATTTTTCATTTTGTTTTCAATCATATAAGTCTTTCCACATAGTAATCTTTATGAACAAGTTGTATTTACATACAAGTGCAAGTTCATGTATCGACCATTTTGACTTTGAATGAGACTGTTGTATCATCAACTTATCCAAATTTTACTTGAGAGAGAGAAGAGATTATGTATGGTTTGTAGTGGATATGAGAGTGATGAAAATATTCGCGAGCTCATTTTAAAATTTCAATATACTAAGAAAGTATGTAGCCAAGGTTGAAAATTTTCAAAAATTATAATCAATTCTCGTTGATCAAACGCATCGTACATACATGAGTCCCATGCATTGACCGGGTAGACAAAAGATTTTGTGTTCAAATTTATCATAAAACGAAAGATCTAACAATTGGTATGAATGAGTATAAACTATGGCATACACAACACTACCCAAAAAAGGCTTTTTGGTAAGATGTCATTCTTTTACTTGATGACATAAAATTAAGATAGTTGAAATCTCTGTTGCATCAAATAACCTGTCATTAACTTATTTCGTTTTCTGTAATTCATGAGTTATTGAAATTCATATGACTTTTTAAATTATTAACCTTCATTTTATGATTTTACTATAACAATAACCTTTATACAAAAATAAAAGCACAATTAGTTTCAAAACTTGATTACATTATGGTCCTGAAAACATCTATACAGAAGCAAAATTATGTACAGAAACCAATCATATTATTTATGCACCTCTATGTCATCTATACAGACAGTAAAATTATGTACAGAAACCAATCATATTATTTATGCACCTCTATGTACCATTCTATAAAAAGGATATGGATAAAAATAGATATTATGCATTTTTGAACAGGAAAGATGCACCTTGAAACTAATATAAATGTATATTTTTTGAATGGTAAATAGAGGTTTAATCAAAGGAAGGTTCTCACGCGAAGAACCCTTTAAATTCATATGATGTACGTCTTTTTAATCTTCTGTCCTATAGGTTAACTATATTTTGTTTTCATGTACTTCTTTATTTCCCTTAATGTTCACTGCACTTTTAAGTAAACTATGAAACTTTACAGTGCAACTGAGTTGTACTTGTGGAAGGTTTTGAAAGAGAATATTTCTGACTGACTTAAAACCACGTACCAAAATTCTCTGCAACATGAAATAAACTGTCATTAACCCGTTCGGTTTCAAAATTAATCGTACTTCAAGCATTGAGTAAACGAGTATTGAAAAGATTGGGAAGTTCTGAAACCGTAACTTTTTTTTCCATTTGTAGACTTTGTTACAGAATGAAATGGAATCATTTACTCAAATAGCTTAATATCAAAGAAAGGTTCCAATTTTTTCCCAATCTCATCAAAACACTTACAATTTTTCCTAGAGGTATCAATTTTATTGAAAAGCACTTCAATATTCAGTTTAAATCTTTAATATTTAATAGAATAACATAGATAGAGAAAAATATCGTTTATTAAGAAATCATTCTTTTTTTGTTGTTTTTGCTTTCTTTAATCATGCTACAAAAATAGTGGAAATATTTATTTCCCCGTCACATCATTTTCATTAATTTAGTTTGAGTATTTTAACAGTATTATCATCAAATTATTTTGAGTATTTTGACAGTATTTCTGATAGGTAGTGGGCGTGGCTTAGGAATAATTAATACAAACTTAGAAAACAGAAACAAAACCATAAAAATGGAAAGAAAGAATAATACAATAAAACAGAATTATGATTTAATTAGTTTGCTATGGTGATTGTGCATAAACACAGTTTTGCTTATAATTGTTACTGAAATATTTTAATATGGATACCTAATCACCGAATTAATAAAATTGGTATCTTATTGTCAAAGACTATCATTGAACTATTATTAAAATTTCTTTGTTTTTCTTGGAGTGTCAGCTTATACGATGTACAGTAAAAAAGGGGGAACACGTCTGTCTCGCAATTGTAGATATAAAATAAAAAATAGAAACATTATCAGGAGAATGCAATTGTATTTTATATAGAATGATGAAAAGAACAAACAATAATCACCCACAAAATGCAATAATACGAACTGTGGGTAGGGTAAAGTTACGGACACTCGTACTGTTGAGAACTTAAACATGAAATACAAATATAATTTAAAGCCCATTCAAGCCTTGGACTTTCTTAATTAACACAAAATGTACATTTTTGATCAGACAAAATTAAAAGGGTTGATATTTTTTTCAAACTGAAAGTGGTAGCTACACAATTCTATGAAAGATGCCTGAAAAAAAAAACAATGGGTGGCGTTTCGAAAAAATAATCACTATATAAAGAACGCTCTCTACAAACGAGACTGTTAAAGCTTTTAACATCAAATTAATTTTCAAAAGACACCATAGGTTTAAAGATTGGCCATACGCAAAATGTATATTAAATCACGCACGCAGGGGACATCAACTCCATATATATGCGAAAGATGAATAAAAACTGCATAAATAGGGGTTGGCAATGGAAAATCTGAAGTCATTCTGCAAGTCAGTTAGCTGTTTGTCAGTTTGCCATCGACTTCTATATTCAGTAAACTTTAAGGATATAAAACATATTTGGCGTGGTGTATTTTATTAATTGAATTCAGCGGGATTTACTTGAAAGAAAATAACCTTTATTGTATTTTGGTAAAACGCCGTATATATTTGTATCTCTAAATGTCGAAAATTGAAAGATTTGTGATTCATATTAAAAAAATATGTAGAGAGCTGAAATAGATCACTTAAAAAATAAAGACTTGGTCGCAAAGACTAGACGGATTAAGTCAGCGAGGAAAGAAATCATTATATTCTTATATACTATCACTACTGCTCAGTCGGTACATGCATTCGCCGCGTGATCGGAGGGTTGTGGGTTCGAATTCCCTTCGGCCTAAAACCTAAATCGATTAACAAAAGGTTGCACCCTTCGCCATGGGCTCGTCAATTTTCTAAAAATTGAAAAAAAGTGTTTAAAAATCATTCTGTGTCATGACAGACGACGGCACGCCAAAGAACT